AGGTCCCTTCCAACCCAAATTATTCTGTGATACATTAAGTTTTGACCATTACTGATCTGAAGCAGCTACAAAAGCAATCACTTGATAATTGATCTAATCATCTCTAGCATTTATTGTCTTTAATTACCTGGCAACAAATCATACACTGAGGTACTTGAAAGTTTCTTCAAGAGACCAGGATTACTTAATCTCAGCTCCATGCAAGCATCATCAGTAGCATCAAACCCTCCTCGTTTCTGGTAACGGTATTTTGCATTGGCTGATGTTACATCAGCACCTGATGCTAGAATGTGAAGTCTGAGAATCTCAGAAAGAGTGCAGCTATCGAGATCCAAGTTTTTCAAATTGCAGCCTACAGTTGAGAAGAATGAACAGTTATTTTATATAGACATTTACACGTATATAAATATTAAAAATGTGCTTTAAAATACAGATCAAAATAAGAACAGTAACAAAACAAGAAGTGAAACCCACACATACCCTGATGTAACTGGGGCCATGCAGCTGCCAAAGTTGCAACTGCAGACAGTGCAGATTTTGTGGGGTCTGCATCTTCATCCAAAGCCTCTGTTAAATCTTTAAGGAAATAAACACTTTATTCTAGTGCAAATTAAAACTTGTACTGTGGAGGGGAGGAAAGCAAGCCGTTTTTTTAAAAGTTGCAGACAAAGCAAAAAGAGGGCCGATATTTACGGAAGCATCAAACATAGTCAAAACTCAATTCAACATCCAAATTAAAACTTACATATCTTTAAAGGCAACTAAAAATCAGACTAAAAGCTAAGGACATGCACCACATGCTATACGCTGTTCTCCTTATACATAAGCTGTTAAAGCAACCACAATGTCTAAAACATGCACAATGGCAACATAAAAAGCAGCAAAAACAAATCCGTAAACACACTTGAAACCAAAACCAAGTAACAATGCAACACCTGTATTTCATTCCCTCAAATCAACCGTTATTTCCTACCACCATTTTGTTTTTAGGAAAGACCATCCAAACCAATCAGACATTTTGATACTGGTTATCACCATTCACTGTACTTTTAATCTGTAACTCAGATATAGCCTTAGTGTTCTGCAAAAATACAATTAGTAAGGCATTGCAAAGAAACCGTATTTCACCAAAACAAGCACCTGCACTTAAGAAGCATCACACATTAGCAAACTAACCAGGAAAGCAGGGCAGTGAAAGGCAGAAACAGCAAAATTCCTGTTTCTTAGACAAAAGTTTCCTTAGCACTTACAAGCATTTCTCCAGAGGGCTGGCAGAATTTTTTCAGTGTCGTATGCTGTTTCAACAATTTCACTTTATTCCAGTCCAAATCATTAAGGAGTTATAAAGTCACTGAGTCAATAAAGAGCCACAAATCCAAACTAAGACACATAAAAAGCAAATCCACAGAGTCTTGTATGATGACTGATGCTGTTTGAAAACGGTCAGCCAGACATTGCAAAATTAACCTCTGCACCTCTCCTTCTCACTGTATCTGTGTAACATGGTTTGAGAAAGCATTGGACACACCGCAACCCCACAGCCATGGTGTTTTCTGTTGCAGAAACACTGCTTGTACAGAATTTAAGTGAGAAAACATGCTGACTACTACTAATTTGGTTAGCCAGAATTACAAAGGTGAGAACATGTAATTCTTTCATGGGGAAAAAAAGATTTACAGGAAAACGAGAGTGACAAGCAATGAAATTTCAAAGGCAAGTGAAATATAATAGATAAGTGCCCTGCCCACAGTTCTGCAAAATCAGAAGAGAAACGGCAGTTTTTTTCAATTATCAGCCCCATATAGTCAAATTAAAACATGAAAATTACATTTTTTTCTGATCGGTCCTACGAATAATAAAGAGTCAACTATTCTATAATTACCTGCTAATGGAATCCTTGCTTATATTGCCCAAACAATGCTCTCATAGTTGAGAGATACAGTTTAATTGCTAAATTCAACAGTAATTAAAATACAGTCTAAATTTGTTGACACCATATCAAATCTCTAACTTTATTCAATTAACAAGGGCAGTCCGTATTGCTTAAGATAGTGCTTATGTCTTATATAAAGACGTTTTATGAATTGGACATAAATCTTATGCATGAGAATACATATAGTCTTCAAGGGAGAAATTAAAGGAATCTTCCTGTACCTCACACATCTGTCTTATGAGGGAACCACAGGATTCACTTGAGCTCAAAGGGGGGAGTGCTCTTATGTTCCTATCTACCTCTAATGACATAAAGACTAGCAGGAAGAAGAGTCCAAGGGTCAGCAAATTTGGCAGTCCATAAGCAAAGGACATACTGGACCACAAGCAGTGTGGCAACAGCTGCCTTCCCTTTCCACCAAGCACTGCGGGAGAGGCAAGAACTGGGAGAAACCTTAGACTTCACATTCAAAACACAGAAGGTAACTGCAACAGTAATATCTTACAATATTTTCAAGGCTCCCAGTTTGATGCTGCTTTATCTCCTCAATTACACCAACACACTGTCTTAAGAGACTATCACTAGATAGTTATCGAGAAGCCCTTTGCAAAGCACTCCACGTACCATCGGTGAGATCTTACAGGTACAACACTCTACAGAATGAGGCTTAGAGCATTCACAGACCATGGGCCAACTCACTAAGATGCCTGAACATAAACCAGAAAGAGTCTACTAAGGATGAAGACACACATCTAATGTCCCTGACCTCATAAATTTGGAACAAAGTTTGTACTTCCTTCTGATTAGTGGTTAGCATATACTACGTGTCCCAGAAAACATGGGCAGCTTTAGCCTTAGAGTGAAGGCCAAAGGCAGAGTGACTGTGAGATGATTTACTAGGAAACTACCAAAACATGGCACTATCTGGGAGATGCTGCTGCATACTTCTAAGTCTTGAAGGACAATGAATATTGAATTCTCTGTTACAGCTGTGCTGGGAAGTTTTAATTTTTAATTTAGTTAGGTCCAGAATTTTTTTTCTAGCTACAGATAAAGACCTTTGGGAAGCTTTAGGAAAAGGTCTCTCTTCCTGACCCTCAGGAGAAACATGTATCAGTGCTGAAGGAGAAGGAGGAAGGCAAAGACAAGTTTCCCTCACCTCCAAAACAGAAGCAGTGATGTTAAAAGCTTATTATGCTTTGCAGATATAATCATAGTAACAATGAGCTTGCTTTTTCTCTATTCCCCCCACACCTCACTCTCTGTGCCCAGTTTAAAGCTTTAATTTCAGATAAAAGAGAAAAAACAAGTCAATTTACATACAATACCCATGCATAATAAGACTAGGTTAAACAAAGGAATGCCATAAATCATGCAGTTTAAAGTTAATTCCAGTGGAATTTCAGTTTTTCAGCAGTAAAATTAAGGATCTGACCTTTGGTCTCAGCATCAGCTATTTGATCTTTGGCCACTTCCTCTTCCTCTTCGGCCATTGCCTGAAAGATGGCAGTCAGGAAGAAAAACAGCAATTCACATAGTGGGCCTTCAGTGTCATTTCCTACAAGAGCTTCCTCTAAAACTTCTGTGAATAAAGTTTAAGAAGCGTCACTTTTGCCGCAAAGTTGGAAAACACTTATGTACTGAAGAATGAAAACATTTTTTTCTTCCTTCAGGTATGATAATCAAGTTACTGTTCCATAATTTACTGCAAATATTCCTAAGGTGATGCTGTCAGAAAGAGTGCTGACAAAACAACATTATTTTCTTAATATATAACTGCAAGAATAAAGTACAAGCAGAAATTTTAATAAGTAGATTAACAGCTTCTATATTGACCTCCGCTTTGATTTTATAAACACTGCAGAAGTTGACTGTGAAGAAAAAACTGGATTGATATGCACATGTAAGCACCGACATATTAAAGCTGCACAGAACGTTTTGTAGCACTGGTACATGGATACACTTAAGAAGTTTGGTTGTTGGGTAGGAGAAGGAATACCACAAAATTGGAGCATCTTGCCACATAAATGACAACTTGCCTAAAGTCACTCCTTCAGGAAATTCATCTTGAAGATCAAAAAGTTCCCCAAAAGCATATAAAAACTCCAAAACCATCAGAGCATCACCAAAGATCTCAGGAGGAAGTCTCGTCTTCACTGGCATTGGAACAGGAAGTTCCTGCAATCCAAATGAGACAACTTAATATTGTATTTGGTTTCCACTGAGTACATAAGTGACTAAAACCAAACAGTCTATGATTATAAAGGAGTCTGTTAATTTTTTTTACATTTTACTGAAAATAGTTCTGCAAGACACATAACCAATTATCATGGTAACATCTGTGGTAGTAGTAACTTTAAAAACCAATAAGCATCCAAGGTAAATATTTTGAGATAAAAGTTTATTCACATTCATGAAGTTGAATGGCTCTGTATCTTCATTTAAATAAACTCAAATTCACTACAAGTTAAGAACACTGGCTCTGAAGATTGTTCCTTTAAACCTGTATTACTTCAAAAGAGTTTTGAATTTAAGGTTGCTGGAACTGTCCAGACAAGTAAAAATAAACATGTTCTTAAAAAGTTACTCATCATTGCTTGCAAAGACAAGCAAACAAAAACCCAACACATTCACATAAACACACACCCATCTAATACCAGGATATGCAAGATCATGTCTAACAATTGAGTGTTGTGATATTTGAGTCTTTGCATTGGTAAGGGAGTTATGATAACTCAAGACATTTTAAAGGGAGCTGATGTAACCATGTAAGGAGACCATTTGACACAGACACCACCTCCAAATCACAGAGGACAGTGTCTAACACTGCGTTTGACTTTCAAGTTAATATTTTGGTGTAACTCTTCAAGATTTGTCTTCACTTAATGTTTCTTAGCAGAGTCAAACAATTTCCAGAAGAATGACTCCTTTCCACAAAGGTGGTAGTTCACAAAACTTAATGAGAAGAATGCCGAATACCATACTTTCGGAAGAACGCAGTAAGGTATTTCATACGTTTCCCAAGAAGGGAATGTTTTGAAAAGCAGTCTATGGGTGGATCTTTCTTCTTGCTTCCTCACCTAAACTCATCTTTATTCAAATTCTTGTAAATTATCACTGTAGTGATGATACTACTTCCCCATCCCTCCTTTTTTCTTTTTCAATTGAAACAGCAGCACTGTTTTGCACAGCTTCCTCTTGTTTCAGCAAATCTTTTCTCTTTCTTCAGTTTCTTCTCCCTTGCTATATGCAGCTAAGAGTTTTCACTCTCATCCTTAGGGACCTATACAGCTCTCCTTGCAAATATATTCAATGCTCATATTTCTCCCAACCAATGCTATCACTTCAACCCATTTAGCACTCTCCTCTATTCCCACTTGTCCTCTTTGCGCTTCTGTTATGTTTCCCTGTGTATCTCAAATAAACCCCCGTCCTTGTGTTTCTTTTTTGCCTCCTTTGGAAAGTCAGGCAATACCTGACCATCAATACCTTCCACTCAGTAAGATTAGCACTTTAAAAATACATCTGTTGCACATCAAGACTTAGAACAGCCTGAAAAGTTCTTCTGGAGGGTGAAAATGCAGATGATCCTATTAGCATCACCACTGGGAAATATTACATGACTGCAGGTGATTCGCAACCCCTACCAGTCAGATCAGATCTAGATCTGCCTCTGCATTAGAGAAATCTAGCTTGAAGACCCTGTTAAGTACGAGCTTGAGCTATTCCAAATTCAATCATACCTTAAGATCATCACACTCCATATCTTCTCTAGGCTTACTCCACTGTTTCAGGTATTCCACATATTTTCTTTTTTCTTCACGCAGCTTCTCTCTTTCCTGAAATAAAAAAAGTCACAGTTGTATATAAAATATGATCAGATTGCCCTATTATAGTTTGTAGAACTACACCACTTACTATTCCAATCACACTGAAAAATAAAACAAAACCATATTTAATTAGACTGAAATAATCCAGTAATTTTTTTTTTGTATAAGCAGATAGTGGCAAAAATATTTAGAATTAAACCATGATGATACTTTGTTGGATTAGACTCAGAGTTTTGTTGGTTGTTTTTTGTCGTTTGCGTTTTTTTTTTATTTTGGTTTGGGTTTTTTTTAAACAGAAGCGGCTGAGGAAAACATATCTCAAAATAAGAGTATTTATGAGAGTTACCACAAAAAAGAGCATCAAAATAGATAGTGGATGTGGCTGTGGAAAAATTTGGTGGAATAAATAATTTGTTCATATTCAAAGTGACAAAAAGTTATTTAGCAATTTCCATCCAAAAAGAAACCACAAAGAAACGCAAAATCATTTAATATACTGTGAATCTGATGTAGTACAGTGTCTTTAACACTTAAGTAGAAGACAACCATCACATGAAATTCTGTCATGCATTATTGGCAAAAAAAATCCTCATCAAATTACTTCAGAAGTAAGTTCAAAGTGAACATTTTGTGAACTAAAATTATGATATAGAGAAGGTTATTCAGAAATACAAATCCATAATCGTATCAGATAACTGCCTATTCTTTTAAAGTGTAGCTCTATGAACTGAAAACAGTTAATGGAAAATAACTTGAAGCACATAGCATCTAAGGAATTGTTCCTATATGAAACACATATACTGCAAATGCATTACTTTTTCCTTTTCCATTTTGAGTCTCTCTTTCTCTTCTTTCTTCTTCATCCTTTCTTCTTCCACAATCTTCTTTAATTCTTCTCTCTTTTTTTCCTTATCTTCTTTCTCCTTTTTCTTAGCTTCTATAGCATTTGCCTTCTCTTGTTTTAATTTAGCTTTTTCAAAAGCTATAGAGGAAAAAAATAAACAAACCAAAGTTATTTCTTTCATAAAATGTTAATTTTATTTAACTGTGCTAAATAGATTGATCTATTTATAATTACCATATGAAAAAGATATTGTTATGAAGACTGAATTGTTTCTATGCCAACCAGAAATTCAATCGCTTGAAAGTTCTTTAGAGAATCAGAATTTTAAGATTAAGTATTACACGTTTCAGAGGGTTGTCATCACTGCAATAAAGACAAATTTCTCTGTTTTTATGAGTATACAGAGGTTTATTACTGGTTTATTTTTTTCTATCAAGTGACATATAAAGATGAGAACTGATTCCAACTGCATGTAATTACAACAACACATTTAGTAATGACTGCTTAATAAAAGCATGTCAGAACTAGGTGTGGCACGTAACCATGAAATATTTGTGACGGTAAAAACCTTTAAATAAGTGATCTTTAAATATTTATTACTGAATTACTGAAAAGTCAATATGTTTGAAACCTATTTAGTATTTCAGTGTTTTCTGTGCAAGTTTTACTTCTGTAACACAGTTTAAACAGAACTTTAATTGGTAATAAATGTTACTGCCTGAGGAGATCCAGATTTCTTTGTAGTTGTCTGCAGAAGAACAGCGGGATACAAATTTCCACTTTCTGAGGACAGACAATGTCTGTCAACTCACACACAGGCTAATAAATAAAAGGAGGTCAGGTGGTTTATAATTTTAATTGAATAAATAAGAAAGCTAGAATCACAAGTGAAGAAAATGGAAAAAGGATCCTTACTTCTATCACCAAGTGGATGGCACTCAAAAAAAGATCTGGATTTACATTTTCCTGTAAAACTATGAAAATGGACTAGATTGCTTTTAGGCATAGCTACTACACATAACAGCAACGGGTCTCACCCAGTCAACAAAATCACCTGATTCCCCCGTAGCCTTCTACATACCCAGAAGGTTTATTTTCCAAGGTACTTGGTATTTTGCTACTTTTTCACATCATCAGTAAAGTACTATAGCAGCTCTTTATAAGAGACTTTATGAATGTCAGTAATTGTCACTCCAATTAAACATTATTTACAGGTAATATGTTTAGATTAATATTCAATTACATTAATATAGTACATTTGAAAGTGAACTTTTAGGCTTATTGTATGGGTAGGATTCTACTTTTCAAACAAACAGTATAATGTGTTGCTGGTTGCAATATTAAAGAACTGCATCTTTAAAAAGTAAATAAATAAAAATTTAGAATCATGGGCCAACACTGGGCCAAAATTGAACACACACAATAACTGTGACACCACAGGTTGGTTTTTTTAATTATTATTACTTATTTGATGCATTCATCATCATTTTTTGTCCCCAACAAAGAACAGAAAGCATTTACAAAGTCTGAAAATCAACATGCTATGACAGCTTTCTAGTGAAGTGCAATAAAATAGAAAGAATACATTTTGGATCTCCATGTTATATAGTTTATTTCAAGGCTGATTGCTCTTTCATTGTTTGAAACTTTGTTTCAAGGGCATTGAGTTTTGGTATGCAACAGGACAACACAAAGATCAAATTAAGCCCAAACGTGTCTTAACGAGCCTTCTAGAAGCTGTAGTTAACACCACACAAGAAAGGAAGCAGTTTTGATATTGATCAGTGGTTACTTTGTTCTGCGCTGTCATTTCCAGCACATAAACAGATGTTGTGCAAAAAATTGGGTACACAAGTTAGCGGAGCCCATCAAACCCTAGTGTTCCCTTCTGCTAGGAAGATAGGCTTCCTAGCTGTCTGAGCAGCCCGAGACAACTTTGCAGCTATTTAAGCCAATGTTGGACAAGATAATTTCCAGGCATCCCTGCCATCCTAAAACATTCCATGATAATGGAAACAAGAGGTAAAAATCAGAAGTCCACGGAAATATTTCCACAGATTAATGCTTTTCCTTAGGAAGTACACCAGTGTTTAAAATCCAGAAGAACATCTCCTTGTCTGAGCTTTGTATCCTCACGAAGACGCACCAGTCCCACCAGTTAAGCCCATTAAAAAGCCCCTTACTTCATCTGAAATCAAGTTTAAATGGATCAGGAACAGGTCAAAACTATGCCGAAATAATTCAATCAGTCAAAAAACCAAATTCTTACACGATTTGTGCTCTTTTAACAAGAAAAAATCATAAACATTCTGTAAGTAATCTTGCAGAACATTTAGACACACATGAAATATCTACGCACAGACATCTTCAGAAAGACTCAAGATTTTCTTAAGGATTATTACAGGTTTAGAAAGCATAGCAGTTCTTTTAAATTTTGGGGTAGTTTTTCCCTTTCCAGATTTCCCTCATACAACAGATTGATTTGTGTTAAGTTGGCAAGATCATGGAGCAGATTCTCCTGGCA